CCCCCCCCCCTGGTTTTGCTTGTTTTTAGCAGGAAAGGTGGGAAAGAGGAGGAGACGGGGGCAGCGCCCCTCTGCGCTGCCCCACGGGGTTTTCCCCAAAGCCAACGGGAGACTTTTTGTGACGGCCTGGAGCACGCCCTGGCAGAGCCGGGAGCAGTGCGGGGCCTCGGGGGGAGCCCATCGGTGCCCCTCCGGGCGGCTGTGCCAGCCAGCGAGGGCAGGGGACGGATCTTGACCGCGTCCCAGAGCGACCGCCGGCCCGGCGAGCTGCACCAGGCTCTCCAAGCTTTAATGAAACCCAATCCTAACGACCCAGCAGTCCCAGGGGAAGGAGCAGAGAAGAGATTAATTCGCCTGCTCAGTCCACAGAAATTACCACAGTAATCAGTAGGACGCGATGAAGACACCGCCAGGGAACGATGCACCGGCAGGACGGGGCAGCCGTTCGCTGCTCCGGCGATGACCGATTTCAATCCCATTTCTCCAGAGCAGGCACGGGGTGCTCTCTCCTCCCCAGGCACGCAGGCGTGGGACGGCCAGGGCTGCCCCAACCCCGGCCGGGCTCGGCCCCGCTTCCCGCCTTCCCCAGCACCAACCGGCAGGAGCACGGGCTCTGCCCCAGCTCAGCCCCCGGCACCAGACACGCCACCAGCTCCGGTGCCACCAAAACCCTCCCAGGCAAACGGTGGCACACACGTGCCGAGGGCCATCCCCGCACATCCCACGCCGCTCAGCACCAAGTACCAGGCACCTTGGGATGCCGGCACCCGGCATCACCCTGCCAGGACAGCGCCGGTGGGGCTCTTCATTTCTGTTTTGATGTTTTTAATTAGGGCAGAGAGAGCATCTCGGCTCCTGCACATCTACGCTCGCCGAACAGCGAGGATACGGACGAGGAGGAGAGGGCAGGAGTGAGCCAGAGCGCTAAATTTACACAGTCTGCTAAAGCAGGCGCAGGGGAGACAATCGCGGTTTATAAATACCTTCAAAGGCAGCGACCGAGACGAGGGAGTGGAGTGATTCACAGCCGGGGAACGGTAAAAACAGGCAGCCAGGCTGCGGGGTGGGGGAGCCGAAAAGGGCTCAGGGAGCCGGACAGGAGCTCAGGACCAGCTCACTGTGCCCCACGCACGGAGCCAAGGTTTTCCCCAGGACACGAAGCCGGAGCCGCTGAGGGCTTGAAGTGCTTAAAACCGAAGGTCCCCACTGCCGCGAGGTGCTCCCCAGCCCCCGACACCTCCGCACGCCGGCTCCCCGGCGAGCGCAGCCATGCCAGGCGAGCTGTTCCCGGGGTGGAAACGTGCGCCACGGCAAACGGCGCTGAGAAAATCCAAGCGGAGGAGCTGCGCCTTCGCCGTCATCCCAGCGGATGGAGAACTGCGCTGCCGGGCACCCGTTTCGTGGGTGAGAGCGAGCAGATTTACTTTCTGCAGAAGACCCAGCTTCTACGCTCAGTTTGGCCTCCAAAACCCCGGGTCCTACCGCAGGTCCCGGTGCCACACCGGAGGTGCCGGCACATCCTGCAAGGCGGAGGGGCTGGGAGCCCCGGGCTCCGCACCAGCACGGTGCTCATCCAAACACCGTCCCCAGTCGGTGGCAACCAGCTGCCAATGCCACCTGCCGGGGACCGCGCCAGGGACGCCGGTGCCAGGAGCTGCAGAGGCAGGAAAACACTCTGTGTTTCCCCGTTGGCGCCGGAGCACCCAGCTGCTCCAGATCTCAGCACAAGCGCCAGCAGCCCTCGCAGGGGACAAGGACGCTCGGTGTGATGGATGATGACAAGGGACGATGACACCAGGAGCTCCACATTAAAATAGGCACCAAACAAGCGCCCTTCCCCGCACAGCCCCATGGCTGCACCAGCACCTCCAGCTCGGAGGAGAGCGTGTGCCGAGGGGTGGCTGCACCCGGGGACACAGCCATGTCCCCAGCATGGCCATGCTCCAAGGGTGACCGGCCACTGCAAGCGGGAGGGAGGGAGGTAGAACATGGCCCTGACCATGGACCAGCCGAGCCGAAGCGACCACGAAGCATCTGGTGAGCAGCCAAAAAAACTGAAGCTACAGTGCTGCACCTCATGCACTGACTTCCACTTCAGGAGCTTAATTAAAAGCAAAGCTGGCAGCAGCAGGATTCACGCTAATTATGACTGACCTACATTTTAGGGGGGGGAATTGCTTAAACCTAATTAAAGCCTGCACATGGATCCAGGTGCTGCTGGACTGGGCTGGGGAAAAAATGGATTCCCCGGGGTTTTGGTGTGGAACAGAGCTGCGTTTCAGGGTGAGTATTTGCAGAGACGCTCCTGCAGGCAGGAGACACAGCCGGAGCCATCTGGAGCAGCGGCTCCTGCCCGCATCCCTGCCTGCCCCCCAAGCACAGGGCGGCTGCAAAATGAGGGTGAAGAAGCCAAGCAGAAGGTGGGAGGAGCGGGGTGGGGAAAGGCAGGGGCTGCCTCCAGCAGCACACAACAGCTCCGGTCGGTGCCACGTGAACCAGTTGCCCAAGTCTTCCCCCATACCACGGCTAACAGACTTTCCAGCTTCCAATTATTATTATTTTTCCAAGGAGCTGCAGTTCAATTCCATACTCGCAGCCCTTCAAAGGCACAGCTGGGGGGTTTAACGACTAATAAGCATCCAAAGACAAAAGACGACGCCTGTCAATGCACTGAAACGTGAAATACACTGCCAACGCTGCCAGGCCTGGTCACAATGGGAGGGGTTGTGTTGTTCAGGGCTCGTTCTTAATCTTGCACAGTTTAATATAACAGAGGTAATACTCACAGCAGGCCACCCGCGATGCAAAAGCAGGCAGGAAAGCCGTCCCCGCAACTCAGCTCTGTTGTCGCCCTTTGCAATTTCAGTTTTTGTGCGTCCTTTTTCCTGGGGCTTTGACAATGTTCTTAAAATACCTTTTAGCAGGGGCTGCAGTGGAATGCCTGGAGTGCCTTTGTTGGAGGAACGTGATGCTCGTAAGTTAAATAATCCTCAGAACGTCAGATAAATAAAGTTGGAACCTTGCAGATGCAGGAAAAATTAAATTACCAAGTGCAGATGGTCCTCAATTAAGAGCAGCGTTATCAACACACCAACGGCCCCTCTGGCTGCAGCCCCAGCGCGATCCTGCCCCAGCGACTGCAGCACAAGAGCAGCCATTCGGAGGCAGAGAGGAGAGAGGAAAAAAGTGCCCGTGACAGGGTGAAACTGCGCTGCTCCCCAGAATGTGCACCCCCTGACAGACGATGCTCCCACCCAAACCAAGGTGCTCCCACGCTGCTCTCGGGTCAGCTCGTCAGTGGCTGCGGTTTGGGTAATGCCGCTCCCCCGGTCCGCAGAGTCCCCACGGTGCCGGTGAACCACACCGGGAGTGACCAGCACATCCCAGCCCATCCGCAGACACCTGAGCCCACGCCGGCTGCAGTGTAACCCGGGATCAGCAATCGCATGACAACCCGGCCGCTCCCCAGCTTTTCCACGCATTAGCTCATTAATTAAAGCTTTAAAAATTAAATTGGATACATGGATTAACTCGCTTCACAATTAATCTGGCAACTGGAAAGCTGCTTGCTGACACCATCCAGGCTCCAACAAGGGGAACCCCTCACCCTGGCTTCCCAGCGCCTCTGATGGGTGCTGGCTCAAATGATGCTGCCCAGGAGCACCCACCAACACCCAC